ACACTCTGAACGATAGAGGTAGTCCACATGGACAACGCAGGACGCCGGAACGCACCTCCAAAACAGGAGATTATTGCTTTCGTGTTCGATAGAGTATGCTATGAATTGGAGAGAGTGAGTTCTTTCAGTTTCTCATTCCCTTCTCAATTTCCAGTTGTTCCGGCGTTTTTGTTGATGGCTGTAACGAGCCAATCTCTTCCAGCTTGCTGAATGGGGTGAACGTCCACTTTCCGATTTGTGCAACTGCGGCGAGGATCATATCCATAGTTGTGATGATGAGAAGAAACGAGTTGTACTGCTCGGATTGCAGCTGTTAGCATTGGTGGGTGTCACTACTTTTGGACTTTCACATAGTTTATTTTTCTTAATTTATTTTCTTGTGATTACTAACACAGAAATAATTTACTCGGTGGTAAGCAACCTTGTATTGCTTTCTGATAAATATGTTTCCTACGCCCCACTTCTTGCCAGCTATTACCTGCTCTTTTGCTCCTTTTGTTTGATCACGGGTTTGCTCAGCACGGTCTGCCCTATTGCAGATTGATATGTAGAACTCGATCAGATCTGACCAAGAATGTTGCATGAAAATTCGGAAGAGAGCCATTAGGTTTCTGGCCCTGGTTGGAATTGCCTCAAAGGTCATGACGACCATTTTGGAGTTGATCACTGTCTACAAGACTTTTTCCAGATGAACAGGTTATCATTACCCATGCACAACGATGATGAAGAGGATGATATCGTAGACTTATGTACAGCAGCCAATAATGTTAAGGTAACTTTTTTGATTCAAGGTTATCTCAACTTTTTAATGTTTAATAATTCTCTCTTCTTCCGACACCGTCCACACAGATTGGCTTTCACGTGTGATAATTACAGATTGATGTGAAGCGTTTGGTGAAAGCGTGCCGTGAACTTAAGATTCCTCTGCTCCATCTTGCAGTCAAAGAAAACGATTTTGTCGAGTTCGAAGGGTGTGTTCATAAAGTTTCAAATTTTGATTGGTTTTTCTACGTGATTCCTATTTCTCTCCTTACAGCATACCTTCACATTTCGTCGTGGATCGCTTGCTAGCAGCTGGTATGTGCGTAAATTCGAAGGACGCCGATGGCGATACTGCGTTGCATGTCATGGTGAAGAATGTCCACCCTAGGTTTGTTTGCTTGTTCCTCATTTGGTTGGCCTTCTGAGTTCTGTAGTCGGCTTTCAATTGCGGGTTTAGGTCAATGTATGAGCAGCGAGGTACCCAGTGAAGGTTTACTTAGAAAAAAATTTTTCTTCCACAATGGTTCCCTTTTTCGCTGAGGTCCCATTTCGCAGTTATTGTCCAACTACAAAGGGAAAGCACTTCAGAACTTCGTTGAGTCATGGATGACGACGTCGCTGCTACACTTTTTGCCTTTCCCTTTTCATTATTTGAAAACGTCCGAGATTACTTTTCCATTTTTTCAAAGCAGATCTTGTCATTGTCAAGAGCTCGTTGGTTGAGGATTCTCCAGCGTAACCTCAGCGAAACTTTTTAAACGTATCTTGCCTACCACATATATCTTCATTTTGAGACCTGTCGATAGGTAGAATTTTCTCCTGGAAAATCTCAATCTCATAGTGTGGGTGGTTTCCAACAGACCTTAAGTATCTCACCATTTGCTATTCGCTAGGAGGATCTTACTTTACCCTATACCCTAATTTCCGGTAGATAAGCCCGCGCTAGTATCACGTAAAAACACCTCCGCTGGTGCAGTGCACTTGCGTACATCTAGAGACAACCGTAACTTGCCCATAGGGGTAATTCGATATGCTGATTACGAAAACGACATTCATTTTTAGCGGTGGCGCCATCTGGCGCCAGTTGGCGTCACCTTGTCACGACCCTTGTTTTCACCAAAATCGGTGTAAACTTCTGTATAGGGGTTATTTGGTGCCCTGATTACGAATATGACATTCGTTTTTGGCATTAACGTTGTTCAACGCATATTTCTCGGTTGGAGAGCGCAGACGAGCAGAAAATAGGCGCCAAATAGCGCCAGCGCCGAGAATGAATGTCATATTCGTAATCAGGACACCAAATAACCCCTATACGAAGTTTACACCGAATTTGGTGAAAACAGGTGTCGTGACAAGGTGACGCCAGATGGGAAAGTCATTTTCGTGATCAGGGCATCGAATTACCTCTATAGGCAAATTTGCGGTAGTTTCTAAGGTGTACAAAGTTACACTGCACGAGCGGAGGTGTTTTTACGTGAATCGGCGCGGGCTTATCTACCGGAAATTAGGGTATTCTTTTATTTTGCTCTTTTCTTCCTCAGTACATATCTTTTTCTCTTATCGTCTCCCCACTTTTCAATATTTTGAATTTACATGCCTTTCACCAAATGGTTCTTAATTGCACTTCGTAGAACTCGCAGGGAATCAGTTGAAGAACTTCGGGAGAGGTACGAAGTTTTGGTTATTGCTATCCATCTCAATGCATGGTTTCAGGATGAGCATTATACGGCTACTACTGGATTATGGTGCGTACGCTTTGGCACGTGACGCTAACGGTAACACATGCTTTGATATTATTGCGAACCGCGCCGAGCCACTGCAACCGTTTTTCCATCCTCTGCGAATCGGTCAGTTTTCTTCAGTTTGAGGTAGTCTGCGCAGTAATTCCCGAGATTTCGACTATGTAGGAGTAGCTTAATCCTGGGTCCAGCTTGAACTGAAGTTGGTTCCGCTCTTTCATTGGAGCTCGGTAAACAAGCATGAGATGCATTTAGCACGTAAGTATTTGGGACCCTTAGCTGTGGTTTCGTATTGGCCACAAAGGCAGTATCGAAATCATCTTCTGGACCGAGTATGAGCCATAGCTCACTCGAAGAAAGAGCTATTTAAATCCGCCATGATCTGCCGCAACAAAAAAAAACGATGTCGTTAAAAGTACCACCACAGGGCATCACAGCGCCAAGCGTGTGGACTGGTGTGGTACCATAAGATGCCACACCGGCTCATGATTTTTGAAGGTGCCCTGTGCTGTTATGCTAACGTCACTCTGTTGAAGATGTTTGAGATGTATTCACTTGAGGCCAATATTTTCTTCCTTTCTTCCTGGAGTGTCAACTTTATTAAATGAAAATATTTCAGGAAAGTACATCACTCTGAAAGGCCTAGCAGCAAATGCTGTTCGAAGGAACAATATAGCTCATGATGGCGTCATCCCACAAGATCTGCTGTATTTCACCGAGTTACATTAGCTTCGCTAACGATGCGTCATTAGTGATCGAGATCACTGTGGTAATTCGAGTTATTTTTTCGATATAGACGTTTTCATGACGCTTTACGATTTTCCAACGATGTGTAATATTAGCTACAAAGCAACGGGTTTGTGATATCTAACATGGCGTAGAGTTTGCTGCAAAATATTAAATTAGTAGATATTATTTTGAAGAGGATAGGTGCCGACCTATTGTTAGATTGCGTCCAAGAGTATCGCTGAGTGACGTTATTGCTTTTGTCGCTTAACTGTTTTTAGAGTTAAGCTAACTGGTAGCATTTTATGCTATGTAGATGAAGTTAGTCGGATTACCTCTTTACAAATGAATTTTGTAGTAGATGTGCGTAGGGTTTTGGAAAGACTCTTTGGTTAGTCAATCTCAGAAGTGCAGTTCTGGAAGAAATTCTAACGGCGTGTCCACTTTGTGGAAAGTTATGTGGGCAATAAGAGCATTCACGCTCCGATAAAGAGGGTTTTTTGTAACTTTTTTTTTCATCACGGCCATGCCCTTCGGGGGAGATGCAGGGTTTTGTTAAAAGGTTTGCAATGCTTTCCTGCAGTCGCAATGCATCGATATTGCTGTTTTAAGATAACAAAGCCCGATTTCCATCATGCAACTAAAAGCCGCGTCTGGAAATTCTTTCTGTACTGTACTTTGGTGTCTGTTTGCTGAAGCTCCTTCTGTAGTCCTTTTTCTCACGTCGTGCACATAAGGAGTTGATACTAGCGCGAATGACCGTGACCTTTTTTGATGTACATTTGCAATTGTAAAGCAGCTTATGGCTGCTTTTGCACTCGGTGACCTTGCAGCAGTTCTTAAACATATTGATTGCAGGCTAGGGTTGGCTGCGCACAAATCTTGTGCCTTTCAGCAGTCGTTTCATAAGCGATTGCAGCGCTCCCTATGACCGGTGTCACACTTTGCGAATCGAGGGATGCGCTAGCATCCGCGGTCGCGTCGCGGCCAGCAAATCTATTGATTGGCTGGTATCGCAACGCTACCGCGGACGCTAGCGAACTGCTCGATTCGCGAAGTTTGGCATCGTCTTGGGCGGGCCACTACTATTATCGACCAAGTCAGGTCCAGCTGTGGTCATTTCTTTTTAGCTGTCTTCTGGCCAAAATCGACTGGCCCTGGCGCCCCCCATGAAGTGTGCCACTTAAGTTGTGAAAAGCTCAATGGCACTGTCAACACAGTCATTGGAGGGAAGGTGGGGGATCATCAATCCGAAATCGATCACCCTCCGCGATTGACTTGGTCGTTTGATTTTGTGGAGCTTTATGTAGCCAGACACAGCGGGGGAGGTTATCTGTCAGTTCACCGAGTGTGGGTGCAGTTCAATGGATTAGATGGGTCATAAGGCTTTCAAGTGTAGGTGGTATCGTACCTATGAGGTGGCGATTCGTTGTTTTCGAGCCGTATTCTTCGAAGGCCACCGTCGAGAATGTTGCCATTGATCCTTTTTTTCCTTTCATTGCTGTAGTTTTTATCTATCTTACATTAGTTCGATTGATGGTCATCCGATTGCCATATACTTCGATTGTTATGTTCTGAACGAAACGACTTAAATATGTAATTTATGCCTTTACGAGTGTTTTGTTTTTGTTTGGCGTCTTTTTTCCCCTTGTATTTTAATCCTTTTCGAATTTCTTTCGAACTTTTTTTGTTATATGAGTTCCTACTGACATGTATTTTCCTAGCAAACTGTCTGTTAGAGTGTATATAGTTTATAAAGATTTCTACACAATTTTGTTTATCCAAAAAGATGGAAAAAAGCTAACTTGGGTTCTTCCAAATTTTACACAAAACTAGGCGAAAGTGAGATTTACAACAAGGACAATGGAATGTTGTAGAAATTTGAGGGACGCATTTGGTGAAAAATCTTACCGGAATATTATCGGCTGTCGCAGTCTCAAACACAGGGCCTGGGGCACGACAGGGGGCCGCGGCTTGACATGTCGCGGGCGGATCAGCGGGCGATGCTGCGCCAACTGATGTCACGTCCCGCGCAACTGAACTCAAGGAATCGCCAGAATTGTTAGGGTGTTCGAAAATAGCAGCGCTTGTGCATCAAACTAGTCCGATTTTTGTGACATGTCCGCAGCGGAGGTCGCAAACAAATGCACAATCTGTAAAATGTGCTAGTTGCGGCTGGGTCAGCCTATTTTTGACAGATGGTGGACGACTGGTTTTGAATTGCCGCGGGCGGTGAGCGATAACTTGGGTGAATCCGGTCCTACTGCTCATTTTTGGGAAGATACTCGATAAAGCCATGGAAGCGACATTGGCAGCTTGACATTCCTGTATGAGCCCCGACAATGGTTGGACTTTCCGAGCAGGGTCAACCCTACGTTGTTACGAGTAACAACGGGGGGGGTCGTACTCAGTTGAGCTTGGAGGGAGGGGGGTCGTACCCTCTCGGTGGCCGACAGTGGGATTCTTGGTAATATCGGATAATAGCCAGCACGTTACGTTTTCGTAAGATGACTGATACAGCATCTATAAACCACGATTCCCTCTAAATGAGCTTTCAAATGAATCAGCGAATTAGAAGGGCGCCCGAGGCGTGGCGCGCACCAAGGCAAGGGATGTAGTGCAAGCGCATGCTCGGAGCTTTCTAGCATCCTAATTAAACATAAAATTGGTCTTCCAAGAAGTTACGGGCAGTGAAACCTAAGAAAACTCGCGTTTTCGAGAAAATGGCTTGAAGAATACCCCTCAAAATAAAAAGTAACAACGGGACTAATTTTTGAACTGCTGATCTTTCAGGAACGCTTTGGGTGCTCGTTAGAAAGCTTGAAACCTGTAGTTTATTATACGTGTTCAGCTTCCCAAATGAGTGACTTTGAAAGAAAGTTATGATCATTTGAAGGTCAAAAAGTCGCTTTGCACAGAAAAAAGTAACAACGTACTAAATTTTTATTAAATTAACTTTCGAAGAATTTTTACCCATGGTTGGAGAGAGAATAATTTGAATTTTCCAAATCAAATCACTTCGGCGCAGAAGCTCGAATATGAAGGAAGTTATAGCCTTAGAAAGAGGGGTGTAAAAATTGTGTTGCAATTGAAGAACGTGAAGGATTTCAGTATTTCAATTGGAGCGATAATTTTTTCTGACTTCTTATAAGTTTTTATCAGGTAATGTTGTCAATATTACGGTCACTGGTTCAGCTTATTTCATCTCCTAGTTTGGTAACCCTTTGGAGTACACGGATATCTTTGCAAGCAGCGATGAATTTCTGTCGTGGATTTTGCTAAAGTTTCATCTTTAATGACTTACGTAGAAATAAATATTGATGGTAAACACTGTCTCTACACAAGTGTTACATACAAAGGGGGGGGTCGTATCAAACCACCCCTGAAGGGGGGGGGGTCGTAAAAAATTTCCGAAGAGTAACAACGATAGGGTTGACCCTGCTTCCAAATGTTCTCTGCAAACGAATAATCTTGCGCACCTGGAGAATTTCGACAATAGGATGGTCGCACAGTTCTTTGAATATACGAAGTTATTAAAGGGATAAATGCGTAAAGAAGAAGGTGCTAACTTAGTTGGGGGGGGCACGCGGCGGCGCGGCAGTCTGCTCGCCTGGCATGTTCGGAAATCCGTGGGCCAGGGGGAGTGTAGGCCAGTCTAGGGGGGTGGGGGGTGGGGGCAGTCACTTGACATGCGTGAAAAGCTGGAATGTTCGAGTTTACACTGTCTCGCTCGAGAGTGAGCAGACTGCCGCGCCGCCGCGTGCCCCCCCCCCAAACTAAGTTAGCACCAGAAGAATTGATTTGCCTTTCTGTAAGAATCCTCCATAGGAAGCTGTAGCGTACAATTTATACGCACAACTTTATAAGCATGATTAATTTGCTCTGCGGGAAGTAGGTAATTAAATTTGTTCTTTCCCCTCCCCTTTGTATGTGAAGAATGTCCATCGGTTGGACATCAGAATGTCGGGCGCAAAAAATATTGAGGATGGTGTCCGCGTTGTGTCGGAGGCTGCTGAAATGATTGATGTGGTGGATTCTGAGCATGTAATTCCCATGAGCAGCACGCCAATCGTTTCACTGA